TCAGCTGCATCCACCAATTTTGATGTTGCATTTTCATCCAACTTGAAATAATTATAATTTCTCTTGTGCTTTTTCTTTGTCCCATGTGTTGTTTAGAATTGTGTCATTTAATACCCAAATATTTAGGGATTATTGATTTCTAATATATTTTTTGAGAATTTATATGATTCCAATCTTCTGAAATTTATCGAGATTTATTTCATGACCTAGCATATGACCTGTCTTGGTAAATGCTTCATGTATACTTAAAAATAATGGTGTGTTCTCCATTTGTTGTGTTTTAATAAATGTCACTTAGTTCAGGTTGTTGATAGATCAATCTTCTGATTGCTAATTATCTAAACAATTCCATAATTCAATAATTATCTAAATAATTCAATAATTAGTGCAGAAAACCTTTGAAAGGTGACCCAGATTTGGAGTACCAAAAGAACAAAAACAAGAAGTGACTATTTGTGGGGTTCCCATGTGACCCAATATTTATATTGAGCCCTATCAATCTTAGATTTTATTTCATGTCATAAATGAAATTTGGAACCAAGTAAGTTACTCCTGGTCTAAAAGATTCATCTAAATACAATGTACCATTACCTAGAATTTAAATACAAATCAAAAACTAGAAATTCAAAGGAAATATAATGTACATATAGTAATCTTGTTCACAAACAAGTCTTTTATTTTTTTTGTGTGCTGCCTTTTTATACATATCTCAGTATCACTCAGCATGAAAATCTACAAAAATACTGCTTTGTATATAGAAATTTTATGTATCAAGGGTTGGGTTAATAGAAAGGACCATTAGGTTAGTTCTCATTGCTTCATACTGCCTTCACATATTAAATCTTGGGCACGGGCACAGACACAGAAAAGTTTGTGTGTAGCAGAAACCTACCCTAAGGAAAGAACATCTTCCGTGAACTGAGTAAAAACACACTGCTAAAACATTCTTGGATAGTAAAGCTGGTACTTTGAAAGTATTTTATCAGTATTTAGTTCTGAAGGATCTCTTGTAAGACACCACAGTATCTGAAACTCTCTTTCAAACCTATCAACCTTATAGGGAAAAGTTTAACATGTTTATTAAACCCTAGCTAGCACAGTAGGCTTGCAGCTTTATTTCTAAGTGCAAGGATGTTCTTACCCTATGCCAATTGCATGTTTGGTAAAGATTTACAATTTTTAGCCTTTAAACAAATAGTATACTGTCTGTTCATATTATACCTGTAACTTTGGTATTCCAAAACCTATAGTCACCGATTAAAATCTGCAAACCATTCCCTGGAATCAGCCCTTCTTTTCTTCTGTTTAGATTTTCCACCAACCTAAATAATAAATGAATTAGTAGCAAACAATGGTAATATAAGCTAATAAAAAACAAAAACATTGCATTGCAGCTCAAATTTTCAAAGCTATTGCACATATTCAAAGACCTTCATGACACTGTTCTTGAGTCTTTTGAGTAACCTACAAAGGACTGAGGTTACTAGCAAAAGTGCTTATTATTTTAATAATACACCATTCATTTTCACCCTCGTGTGTATACTCTTCCATCTTTAGGGTCAGAGTACATGGTCAATGTAGCATTTCAGTTAAAGTTATTGACACAATGAAAGAATAATTTCATAAATTTTCCAAGATTTATGGAAGCTGTATTCATTCCTCTTCCAAACAATAGTCCTTCCTGCTTTGGGTTCTCTAAAGTTAAACGGCATATTTGGCAGAACCATCTTTGCAATTGGTGCTAAATGAAGTCAAACGCATAGGATAGGATAAGTCTAAAAAGTCAATATTTGAACTGATAAAGAGAAGTGTGGCTTTGTTGTAAAGGAGCAAAGAATGGTCCCCGGCACATAGTAGGCATTCATTAAAAATGTGATGATTTAATGAATGAATTAAATTACCACATGTAATGCAATCTATAGCTGTTACAAAGCCAGATGTATCAGCTAACATGAGCCAAAGGTAAAGCACAAAAGAGCATGCAGACTCACAGCATTTCATTCTTTCAAAGTATTTTTCACTCACCAAAGGTTAACATTCCTTTCAGTGAGCTATATAGGCATGGCTGAAGCAATGAAAATGAAACACTGATAAGAAATGTGATATTTCTGCTTCCTAAGACTGTGTAACAAAGATACAAGTAAAGCAGAACATTTGATTAGATACCCATGTGCCCCAGGTGGAGGTCATCATAGGCATGGAGAACGCACCTACCATTGACCCTCAGCATCCTCATGGAGAAGCTGAACGACATCTCCATTTCTAATCAGGAGGTCTTCTGAGCCTCTTTTCCTGCAATCTGCTAGGGCTTTATATTTGCCTGCTGACTGTAAGGTTGTTTTGAAAAATTACGTTATAAACTTGATTGCAAAACTACTTGCACAACTGCATGCTCTATGACAAACAATTCACATGGTACTTCAATGGTAAATGCGATAGCTGCAGCAGCTTTGCAGGAACAAACATGGAGCAGTTTGTGATGGGAAAAAAAGCAGAACATGTGTTTATTTAGCCTGAAGAACTCACTTTTATTTGCAAAAAGAATTACACCATGAACTACACAGAAAATAACAGAGCACAACTAATTTAAGTTACATGAATCATAAGCATATATCAAGAAACAAAACATTAAAATAATTTTTAAATAGTTATTTGCAACCTGCTCTCATGGAAAATTTATCTTGGCACACACAAAAGGCAATGGCCCTGAACAAAGATTTACTAATGCCCCCAAAAGGATTTCTAGGCTGTATGCTGTTTGGTATACAGGTAAAAATAATGGGCACAAAAGCTTTGGGTCCAATAAAAGTAGATTAAATGTTGTGCATTACATGGCCTTAATCTTTTTGCAGCTATATATATTTTTTAAAGGATTAAGGTGTTTTATATTAATTTTACAGAGCGAGGAAGGGAGAGGGGGAGAGAGAGAAACACCGATGTGAGAAACATCCATCGGTTGCCTCCTGTATGCACCCCAACTGGGGATTGAACCCACAACCTGGGGATGTGCCCTAACTGGAAATAGAATCCAAGACCCTTCAGTGCATGGGACAATGCTCAACAAACTGAGCCACACCAGCCAGGGCTGCAGCTGTATTTTTAACTTGATTCATTAATAAGCTAAGTAAACCAAGGTATACTGATTGCATTTGGTTACAAAGTAGATGAAGAAGAAATAATAAATCTCATATCCAAAAGTATTCAGAGATGTTTCAAGCACAGTATTTTACACATTCAATACATGATTTAAAAAAGTAAAATTACCATAATTTTTTAATGACAGAAAAAAAAAAAAATTATGCGATGTCGATTCTTTATACATCCAAAGAAATTAACCTAAAAACAAGATCCATATCACTTGGGCAGCATGTCTTTTGAGCAGTCCTTTTATCAAATGGGCTGAGGAGCAGGCAGGAAAGAGCTACGTGCCATTTAACACAGTAGCATCATCAAAATAGGAGAGCCATCCCCAACACCAGCCTCTACAAGGGGAGCCGCACCCATTATTTCTGACTTTTCATTTGATAAAGTGAGGCTAAAAGAGCAGGTCATTGCAACCCATTTTGCTTTGGGGGGGGGGCATCCTTTATTGCATGCATTTAACTGTGTGGGGTTTTTTGTATGGTTTCCTTAGTAGCGCATCCCAGGGAATTATTGGGAGAAGAGAGAAAAACTAATAGGTTTTTCTACATTCCCATCCCCTATGATTAGAGCACTAATCAGTTTTGCATATTTGCTTTATTTTCCAAGACTATAGCTGGGAGAATGCTCACTGAAGATTTTGTCAGTTCATGACAATCCCCTCACAGAGTATCTACAGCAAATGCTTAAACCCCAACTGGCTTCCCCTGACTTTTCACTCACATCTGAACAATGGCCATCCTCACAGTAATAATTAAGGAAATGGAAGTTCTTTTTATTATTAGTCTAAATGGGTGGTTTTCAAAGTTTAGGAGGCAGACCTTTGGGGGTTCTTGACACCCTTCCAAGGTCGAACCTATATGAAAACATTATTTGCCTTTTCACTCTTATCCTCTCACAAGTATACAGTGGAGTTTTCTAGAAGCTACCTGATGTATGATAGCACAACAGACTGAATGCAAAGCAGATTAAAGAGACTTGCAAAAATATTTTAAATGCCACTCTTCTCACTATATCTTGTTTTGAAAAATGTAAATTTTTAATAAAAATGTTATTTTTATCAACTTACAATGGGTTTAATATTTTAAAATAGTGAATAAATAACTTCATATTTCTCAGTTTTAATTTATAATATGGTAAATATCAATAGATATAAACAAGGGCTCTTTGGGATTCTCAATAATTTTTAAAAATATAAAGGGTTCCTACATTAAAAAGTTTGAGCACTGATGGTGTATAGACAATTAACTCTGGACAAATCTCCTACCAACACCGAGCTTTGGTTTCCTCCTCTGTCCATTGGAGGTAATAAAGCCTGACCTTCCTCTTAATAATACTATGAATATTAAACAGGAAATAATATTATAAACTGTAAACTACCATACAACTATGTTTATGGTCATGGTATTATTAGTAGAAAGAACATTCTCTCACTTTTTGAAAGAACGCATTCAGGTCAATGCTCGGCAGCTTTGTGGTTATCCATGCCACTGTTCCCTTACCTCAGTATTAAAACTGCCTAATTGATTTAGTTGCTCTGAAGGGCACAAAGCAGCAGTCCACTACAAAGCATCATTCCCACCATCCAAGCTGGTGACTTCAGAAAATTGGAGATATACCCTAAATAGTCCTAACACCCCTTTAGTAATCCTATAGGAGCCTAACATTGCGAACTACTTCTGTAAAACACTTTTACCCTAAAGCAACCTCCTTTAGCTCTATGGGGTGAGCCCTTGCTCTAATATGCTGAGATTTGGTGTCATTAGCACATTTTTGACAGCCCACTAAAATATATTCCCCAGATGTTATTAAAGAGTTTTTAATATGTAATGTTCATTTCCTCTATTTTCCAATCTGGAATTTAAACTGATTTTTAAAGTATATTTGACCTTCCTTTGTCCTTGAGTTTATCTCACATGCCTTAATTGACAACACAGTGAATTTTAACTAAAGATAAAACTAGTCAATGTATAGAAACTTGGAATGGTTGACTATTTGTCTCATCAACTTCAGTAGGAACTCCATGTGTAGCTCAAACAAGTTCTACTTACAGAGAGAAGTGCTTACTGAATGCTCAAAATTATTTCAAATCTTTTGGCCATGGAACATACCTCAAGGATATTGACAAAGGAATGTCCTTATGTACTTCACCTATTTCATCAGGAAAATTGCCTCAAGAGTTTCTATTTATTTATTTTAATATGTCACTACTAACCATTAGGGGTCTTTCTTCTTCATTGTCAACACAGGAAGAGGAGAAATAGTTGTTTGACCATGCCTCAGGCCTTTCAGAGATTTCTGTAGTCTGAACTATAAGAAAAACATGGAGGGTGGCAGTTACTTAATGGTGCTGGTCCACCACAAAGAGAGAAGTAAAACTTACTGTAATAATCAAGGCTACAGTGGTCCAAGAATTGTATCTCCCTATAATAAAACCTCCAATTAGATTGTACTGTTTTAGAATTGCTGTTATTTCAGAAATATCACTTCTTTTACTTATTAGGATGGCTTCAAGTTGGGGTTAGTGGGAGAGTTATTAAAATAAGTTAAATAACATTCCAAAGAATATTTACCACTTCTTACAGAAAAGAATATCTTCCAAAATTATTTTCTGTAGGATTTTTATTGGTCCATTCAAATAGCACTTATAACATTCTACCCAGTAATATTATTTTTGACTTGTCTTATCTCTCTTATTAGGCACAGACTATGTTGTATAAGAGCCTTGCATGTAAGAGGTGCTTAATAAAATATATTGAACTGATGTGAATTAAGCAATCTAATATAGGTAGAGAATTAACAGTATCTCAACTTGGCCACACTAAACTATTCATGTAACCTTGGAACAGTCATGTCAACTTTCTCTGACTTGGTTTTTACACCTGTCAAATGAAGGCATTGGTACTAGGCTCCCTCCTGACTGCTCTGTGGGCCCCAGAACAGAAGAACTGATAGAAGTGACCTTTAAATGGATAACTGAAAGTTGAACGTTATCATTACTTGTTTTCCCTCAACTAGTAGAGAACTCCTCCAGATTAAGGACCATCATATTTAAGTATTGCATATCAGGCACTCTGTTAGGCATTTCTCATGGGAAGTCTATGCTGTTGAGGTGACCCTCCTGGATCCTTCTGCAGCACCTTGTACTTCCCTGTTCAAATGCTTATCACATTTAATTTTAATTGCTTGTTGAACTATCTTTCTACCTTCCTACCTTCCTAGCTTCATGGGGATGGCAGCTGAGTGTATCTTAATTATACTGTATTCCCAGGGCTTTGCACAATTCCTGGCGTATGGTCTATGTTATATTTGTTGAATTAAACACATTTTAAAAATCAATTTAAATAAAACAATTTGCATTAAAAACTATGCCAGCTGGAAATGACTCTTCTCTATTAATTAAATCTATGCTGAGTAAAGTGGGCATTCCTTTAAGCCACTATGTGTTCTGTTCATCTTTGTATCTATCCTGTGTAGCAGGGGTTCCCAGACTTGAAAATGCATCAGACAGACTCACATGGAGAACTTATTAAATCACAGATAGCTGCATTTCACACCCAGAATTTCTGATTCAGAATGTCCACAGTGGAGTCAGAGAATTCACTTCCCTTACAAATTCCTAGGTGATGCTAATGCTACTGATGCAGGGACTGCACTTTGACAATCACAGCTCTGCAGTGCCCACCGGCATCTTGCAAATGCAAGACATATGAAACATAAAAATAGGTTTTGTTTTCTTTATATAAAGATAATAGATGGGTAGATTTTCCAAATTAACAATGGGAGAAAAGAATCTGCACAGCCATGAATCTTACCTTTGGAGGACCATGACACATACCTGTATTTGCTTCTGCCTGAACTGTCACGATTTCCTCACCGGCCCCTACCACAGTGTTGGTGTGCTCTGATCCAGTTCCCTCAGCGCCTATTAAAGCTCCCTGTTGCCTTCTGAAATAGTAAATACATGAAAATAAATGAGCTTTTGTACAGTTTAAGAATCAAAAGAAATTAAAAATTGTATTTGTTCTACTAATACCAAGTGTCAAGAACATACTCTGAGAAACCATTCAAACAGAGTTAACTCCCCCTTATTTAAGTCTGTGTGATAATAGTTCATAATATACAAAAACTTAAACCCTAGGATCCAAGCCAGCAGGGTCTCTCTTTAATATGCAAGGAAAAAAATTACTCCCTTCTTGGCCCAAGGTAGGTATACTGTTTAAAATACCCATAGCATATTATAATGTATATCTGAAATTTGCTAAGAGGTAGATCTTAAATGTTTTCACCACACACACACGGATAACTATGTGAGGCAATGGATGTGTTAATTAGCTTAACTATGGTGAATATTTCACAATTTATATGTAGTTTAAATACTCAAGTTGTACTCTTTAAATATATACCATTTTAACTGTCAACTGTAACATAATAATGATGGAAAAATATACACAATAAAACAATCCCTGTTGCTCTATGAACTTTTAATCTTAATTAAATAAGATGTATGTAAATGATGATGAAACTTTAATCTGATTAATACTGCTGAGTTATTAGTATCAGCTAATAAAGTCAATTACTATATGAAATCTAAAGACTTTCCTTCTATAATGTATGACAAAGGATTGAGTATTATGAAGATAAAGACTTCCGCTGTGACTTTTAAATGGTTCTCTTAAAGCCCCAGATGAACCAATACACTTTGCACCTGATTTCAGCTACCTCTGAAAGATCATGTGCAACAAAGAGAAAAAGAGTATTTTTAATAAGGCATTCAATGATCCCTCTATCAGGCAGAGGATGCATAGTGAATTCCTGTGCCTAGGCTTTGGAATCAGTGTGGTGAATCTTTCTGCGTATCTGCAAATGTTCTCCGGAAGCTCTACCTTCTAGGATTCCTAGAGGCAGAATACAAGGACCACATCTCTAAACCAGCAGTCAGCAGTGCTATCTTTCTGGCCTGCTAAATTCCTCAAAGACTGCATGATTATGTCCAGGCACAGTTCCCTCCAAGGACCCATACCTCATCTCTAACTGCATAGGAAGAGAGATCAAGTCACCAACAAGTGGACTCCATCAAGGGACCACAAATCTCTGGGCCAGTAGAGGCTGTCAGTCCTTTAACATTCTTACAACTCTCTTTCTCCAACCAGATTGAAAGTGATCAAAATTATGTTGAAGAGAAATCCAAGGAGTGCAGCTACTGTTATGGTTAGCATACACGCCAACTCTCCCGCCAGCCTGATACACTGAGAACAAAGCATTTGTAATTGTGTTTATCCCAAACTATCGCATTATTATTAACATCAAGGGGAACAATTGTATAACTATTAAGGACTATCAGTCTCCAAGTATAAACATAGAACTGAGAAAATGATGGGCTCTAGGAATTTGATGAGTTATTGTTAAAAGGGCAGGTAGTTTTTGTCTGAGATGCTTTAATCACACTGCTTCATGTTGCATGGGGAAAACAGCAGATTGAGGGAGTAATAGCCCTTAAAGAATAATCACTTACTCATCATTCCGTTGAGAAGAAAGCTGGTTCTGCTCAGTTAACTGGTTATACTGTTGTCGTTCTTTAACTGTGGAATTAAGAAAGTTTATATAAGCAACATTCAGAAGCCACACTTCTTCCTTCCTTCCTTCGTTGAAGACCAATGACTTTCACATGCAAGCACCCCCCTCTCCATTCCCCATTAGAGTTAACCTTCACATACTTGAAATAACCAGAGGGAAAGCCAGTCTGAATTTGGCATATAGAAAAGGACCGAACAATTTAATACCTCATTCAAGAAATACAAGTGTATTACTAGAACCACACCTAGCCCAACATTACCAAGCACTGATACTTGAGGTCCTAAATAGCTGCTTCATGGGAAGGACTCAGAATTAGCACAGTCGGTTTGATATGTTATTTCGCAATTGCTTCTCAAGCACTAGAGTACATTTTCTAGTGTAAAGTTCATTCTCCAAAATAATTTAAACAACCCCATGAGTCTTGATCTCCTACTAATTAGTTTAACAAGCCCTTTCATTGTAAATAGTATAAAGTAAATATCAGCCCCATTCCCCATAAAAATTATCACAAAATCTGAGTCAATGAACTATTATAGTACTTCTTGTTCTGTAAAAATGCATGCTTAAATTTACCTGTCATAAGTTCTTGTTGCTTCAACAAAATACTTCTTATTTCTTTTAACCATATCATCTTCACATCTATATTTGAAGCCTAAAATTTTTAAAAAGGGGGAAGAAGACATGTTTCCTTTTAAAAAAAGATACTTTACAATAAAACCAGTGTAATTAAATATGTCAAATATGAACCTGAACATGAATCCTGAACCACCATATTCAAACTGTAACATTTTGACTCTTCAAACTTCTAAGAAGCAAATAAGCAGCCATCAAATTAGATGAAATAATAGTCAAAACCATTTTTGAAATTGCTTTTAAATAATAATGCTCACAGAAAATACAAAATATAACCTCACTTATTCTTCTGTGTAAGAGGGTTCTTTTAAAAATATAAATGTTTTTGCATTTAATTTTGGTAAAAATAAAACAAGTTCTACTGTTTCCGAAAAGACAGTCCAAGAAAACATTTTTATGAATTGTAATCACCTAGTAAAGGATTAAAACAAAGAAAAAACACTGGGCACTTTAAACATATAACAGCACATTCACCTGTCACAAGTCATTATACAAATACTTATTGAAATGACAACATCCTCTTGAAATGTTCCCATTCCTCTACCCTTCCTTCAAACACACTGGACCTTATATTATAGCACATCTGGCCAGGGTTTTAACCATAGTCTTTAGGAACAAAGATCAAGTTTGTATCCTTACACTGCCATGTCTTGTGATTAGGTACTCTCAGAGTGACTAGCACAAGAGGAATTCAGAACTATTAGAAACTTGATGGGGATAGAGAAGCACCTGCCAAGCTCTTGGCTATCAACAAGAGTTGATAAATCTCCTAGTAAGGCTGTGAAAACTTAAGGCCCTAGAAAGCACCATAGGCATATCACAAGTTAAAAACATGTTACTGAAAAAATGTTTAACTACATCACAAAAAATAATAACTAAATAATATTTAAGTGGCCTGCATGAAAGGAATGAGAAGTTTTATAATGTAACGAAAATTATTTCTAGAATAAATGTTAAGTGACCAACCTGGACAATGTAAATTTCTTCCTTCCCAGCATACCAGATTTCAAACTTGCGGTTATCTCCTTTTACATATTCAGTGATTCCAACTTCATCCATCTATAATATATAAGTCAAAATTTTCATGAGCACTTAATTTGAATATGAAATTACATTCACTCTACCCTCATCATACTCTAAATGAAATTTCTCACTTGGGGAAAATACACATTTTATATTCAAAGAATATGAAATATTTCAATCACAGATCTGAGTCTTTAAATGTTTTCACTGAACTATGCACTTATAGTACAGATTACAAGCTCCATTCCAATGATTGAAACAAAGGTTACAAATCTGAACATCCAAGTGGTCCATCTAAGATTGAATTCTGTTATAAATTAACTGTACACTCTGAAAACAAATTATTGTGTCAAAAAGAAGTAAAAGTAATCAACATCTGTGTAAAAGGTCATCCAAAATTAACTTAAATAGTTCTTTTTAATAATCGTTTGCACAATAAGTTAATCTTACAAATTATTACTTATATATATAGAAACCCTACAAGTTACAAACATTTGATTTATGGGGCATGAGAAAACCAGCCAGGTACAAAGGAGCCCCTCTATTTTCACCAATCTGTCAGCTTCAGCCTTTTCAAGTTAACCTGGAAATGTAACCATTATATTTATCAGACAATACTGTTCTCAGTTCCAAATTAAAACTACATATACATTGAACATTAGTATACATTTAACAGAAACACACTAACTGAACAATACACACCAAATAAATTAGAATACAGGGGTTGAGGGGAAATGCAGAAAAGGAGAATTTTAAAGAAGTTGTGCCACTGCTGTGGATTCAGAAGTGAAGCAGAGAAAGTGGACAGAAGCAAGAAGTTGGAGACCTGACCTAACCCTGGTCAGGAACCTTGCTAAGAATAGCATGGAACTGGTGACCCTCTGGGAAGAATGAAAAGCAGGGCCTGCTTATTTAGTAGCCTCTGACACAAACTCTTCAGGCCTCTCTCGGGACACATTGACTGCTGTCTTTATTACTGCTGCTAAAATTTTCATCAATCCTTTAATATATACAACTGTGAAAGAACATGCTCATGAAACATGACTAAAATGATAGTGATTGGGGAATCAAGGGTAATAATTTTCTCTGTTTTCCAAATTTTTCTAGAGCAAATGCTACATTGCTTTTACAATTTAATACTTGAAAGATAAAATTGATTAGGTGTAAAATAATCAAATTTGGCAATTGCAGACTCATGCAAATTGGAAGTTCCTCTTGTCAAACGTTAGAACCAGCTGGGAGTATCATTGGACTGCCTGTGAATTCCTGTGACTTCCTCAAACATCACTGCTCTCATTTTCCTACCAAACTAATACTAGAACAGAATGTAAGTTTAGGTTACAGGAAAGAAGAGAGTAATTTCAGTCCTGTGGACAGCATTTGGCTGTAGGTGGGCTTGAACACCGAGGGGCGGAGATGCTGGGAAATGGAGGGCGGGTACAGAAAGGAAGGTGGGGATGTGCCAAACACACATCCATTTTTAGATTGCACTGGGGGAAAGGAAGACATTCTTTCCTCCTTGTCTCTTCTGTTATAAAGGCTCCCTGCTGCCAAGACCAAGAACTCCACCCAGTACCACCAGTAAGAGTACTCATGGGGAAGCCTGGGTCACTTCTCATTGTTTCACACTATGCTCTGCCCTCCCCCACTCATTTCAGGCAGAAAAGTTCTGCTTGACCTGACTTCTGTATAAGACTTCTACATGAGATTTCGTAGGTGGGATAAAGCAAAACAGGTGAAGGGGGTGAAAGGGAAGAAAAACTTCCAGTTATAAAATAAAAATAAAATAAATAAGTCCCAGGGATGTAATGTACAGCATGGTGACTACAATTAATAATATTATATTACATATTTTAAAGTCACTAACAGAGTAGATCTTAAAAGTTTTCATCACAAGAAAAAATTTTAACTATGTGAAGTGATGGATGTTAACTAGGCTTACTGTGGTGATCATATCACAATACATACAAATATTAAATCATTGTTATACACATGAAACTAATATGTTACAGGTAAATTATACCTCGATTAAAAAATATTTTGTTTAAACAAAGGGATGTACCAGTGAAGTATAAAACCCATTCATTTGAACTGAAAAAGTACACAAACTTGAATATATATGTAAGAATATTACATTACATAATTCAAACTGCCTTACTTTTAAAGAGTGCTTGTAACTGTATGAAGGGTATCTACTAGAGCCTTCTCCACTTTCAAGACGCATTTTACAAAAAACAATGGCTTTTTCATACAAGAAAAGGTGCCGCTGCATTGGTTTGAATCTAGCAAAATCCTTCATTTTTGTAGCACCCTTTTTGTGTCCAATCCAAACACTGAATGCACCCTGCATTACCATCTTGCCCAGATCATTTAAGTTTCCCTAGAATGAAAAAGCAAAACTCATTAGCATAAGGCAAGTGAGCTACAGATTCCTGACATCAACATTATAGTGTTTAGCTTGAACTACTAAAATCTTGAAGCATAATTGATATAGTTTTAAAAATTTTATCATAACTTTTTACATTAAAACATGTCATGTGTCAAATAGTTACAAAATTACTATGGAGTGTGACATCTAAGAAGTTTCTTTTTCCCTGGCTTCAGGTCTCCACGTGGAGGTTTAGACGGGGTAACTCTCCCAATCTCTTCCTCCATCCTGATTGGTGAATGACACCTACCAGTCCAAGTTTCTCCACTGGGTGGAGCTAACTCTAAAGATTTGATCTTTTTCTTCCACAGCTATACTGGACTACTACAAGGAGAAATTCTGGGACAATATATCTCCTTAGAAGACCCAAACATTCCTTCAAGCAGGATCATACAAAGTCTGGACTTGGGGGTAGGCTGCTGGGGACAAGGGGACTGTCACAAATCCATTTGGCTGGTGATCTGAAGCTAATTCTCCACTTAGCATTATCAGTGATAATACTGACATTTGGATCTCCATTTGTCTGCCTCTTCTTATTTCTCAATCGGTTCCAGGAGAGGAAGAAAGGTATGTGAACACGCCTCCCTGCTAAAACTGTAACAGTCATTAAAATCTACTTACAACATAACCATTTATTGCAATCTGATGCATAGAGTCATTAACTGACTTCAGTAAATCCAGCATTGTGTCAAGTGCCTCTTTTAATTGTCCAGATCCTTCACAGTCTTTGCTATATTTTAATAGTTCCTGTAATTAGAAGTCAAGAATTAAACTTAATAGTAGGCAGACATTAATAGCTGGAGAAAATTAATAAAATTTTGTTCAACATGTTTTCAAGGAAGAATTCAAAGATAATGTCACTTCTTGAGTATTTTTTTCATATGCTATTTGTCACATTAATACTACATTTAATAACAATTTCACAATTGGAGAAGAAATAGAATATTGCCTAAAAGTGTAAAGCAAAGGACATTCAATGCTTTTGGAGCTGAAGAACAAAGTTTTTAGGACATATTAGAGACTAATTTCTAAAGCAATTACACATTTTTTGGTCCTGTACACACAACACTTTGTTTTATTTATTATGCATATACAATAGAACATTGTGAAAAATACACTTTAAAACAAACTATACTGTATTTATACTTAACATTGTCACATTACACAAGGGGTGTACCATCTTCACCTTCCATATGAAATGCAGTTGCAAAACTTTGCTTAGTTCTTGTTAACAATAGTAAAAGTTTT